GAGATGCAGAGTTTGAGGACCATCCCGAGCTGGGGCTTGCTGCACCCGGCCACACGAATCCTAAGGACGGGATAGAGTTTGTCGTCCGCTGGCAGAATCCAATACTATGCAAGACTAGGTCCAAGATTGAAAATAGGGAAGAGAGGGAAGCATAAGCGAACTCTTTTTGAGGGAAGCGTGTCGGATTTTGAAAGATGTCCAAACGCCTGATACTTTTTGGAGCAATACATCAACGTCAAGTATTGCTCCCCTTTTTTGCACTGATAATTGAAGGTGAAGCCCAGGATCAAATTGGTGTGGTAATCCCACTCGAATATAAAAACAGGTATACGAAGTTGGCCGCAAGTGAAGAAAAAAAGAAAAGAAATCGTCAGAAACACAGAAAATACAAACCGCATTGCGGAGAAGTCTAGAAAGCAGGCAGCGAGATGAGAGAAATGTGAGTAGCAGAGGGTAAAGAAGTCTGAGTAGGGAGACATAGCAAATCAAGTGACGCAGATAAGATATTGAACGGTGGACGGGCGCTGATCCTGGGCGAAGGATGATCCAAGTCCTGAGCGCCTAGCGCCTTAGCGATGCGTTCAGTAGCAGAAGTGGCGCGACAACTGCAGTAGCGGATTACTACCTACATCTACGGGATAAATAAGGCTGAGCCCGATCCCTGCCTACAGCCCTATCGACTAGCCCAAAAAGAATAAAGGATAGAAAGGAGAACTCAACAAGCTTTCTAAATTTTATACGCTATAAGACTAGATTCAACAACAATCTGAAAAAAAAATTCAGTGACCCGCAGAATCATCCAGACTTGATAAGTTTGCTTGAACTAGGTTGAGATCGGAGGGTTCGCAGCATGCCAGGATATCGTGCCACCAGTAGAGATCGTAAAATCCATATAACCGTTATAATAGCGGTAATACAGTATAAATTTATTACTGTTGATTCGTTTGGTAGATGACATGTGCCAACCAAAACCTACAAAAATAAATATTTAAGCATTTTACATGATAAGTCAGCCAATGAAAGCCAAGAAAACATACATCATCATGACATCATCTTCAGAGATAGTCGCCATCAGAAAGGTAGGACGATTCCCGTTACGCCATGAGAATGAATTAACCGTGTACTCCCAAAACCACCCGCTGGTTGTGACCACCTGCAAAAATCACAACAATACGTGCATCCATGATAGCCAAAAAAACAAGAATTGACAGTAAAACATTGAGAAATTTAGTATTATAAATCGAAGGTACCCTGTTCTTCATCCTCTAAGCGTGACCATTGAAAAACCGCACGAGGTCAACTCTGTAGAAGCCACCATAAGCTCCTCAGACCACCGCTTACCATTTAGACGATAAGATCATCCCTGGTAGGCGTCGTCATCTCATCGAAATCTTCGTCACGAAGGCATTCGTTATCGTTGAGCCTGAACTTCTCTTACCAGGTACAAAAGCTACGTCTCCATCATGACCATTACTGATGATCAATTTTAGAAAGTAAGCAAAGTAAGGAACGTCAGCACTTGACGACCTTTTTTGAGGCACCCTGCAACGGACTTTCATAACAATTTTAGATCCTCGAGCATCGCAGATTCACTTCCAGCGTTATGGACATGAATCTATTTGTGCTTTTCCTTAAGCAAAGCTAAAACCTAATCGAACTTGTTGGTGTACTTCTGCTAAAACAAAAAACAAAACAGTGCAAGTATGGCTTGGGAAGGAAAATGAGAATTCGAAATCCCATAAAGAGAGCCCTCATTCCTCTGGTGCTTTAGAAATCTAGTGGACACAGCCTAAAGAGCCGAGGCACCGAAGCAAAAGAACAACTGGAAAATGCGCAGACAACAATAGCACGTACAGGATAACGGTGACGACATGTTTTGCTAAGGGCGTCCCTCGGCGCAAGAAAGCCTATCAAGCTTCTTCACGCGTTTGCCGCAAATGACCTCACTCGCGGTGCGGACACACGACCTTAGGGAAGTTTCAGGCCGTTAGAACCAATCGTGTGAGGCGCCTTTAACCTGCGCCACCGAATGAGAGCTCATCCCCGTGACTCGGCGAATGATGGTTACGAAAATCCTCGAACGTGATTATGTACAGCTTGAGAATACTGCCCATGGTGAATGTGTACGCGGGGGCACAAATAGGTCGCGCGCAGCCAGAGCGCGCACGGGAGAGCCTGGCTGACGTAATAACTTCGACGAGTCTTCGACCAATTTTGTCGTGGCCCATATACAGAGGTGGTCTGGATAAATCTAATCCATCCAAAAAACCGTTTCTTCTAGCGAAAAGAAGGTCTAGACCAACCAGAATCATTCGGAGAGCAATGTGCCACGCGAAGACGAGCAGGTACCTAACAAAAGGAAATTTGAAGAAGTATCGTCCGACGATACTACTGGAACACGAGAAGCATTTTTTTCACAAGTGTCCAGTTTCGAGCAGTTCAGCTCTTTAGCGATCTCGTCGAGCTCTCTTTCAGCCTCATAACAGAATCGGCAACCGTCGCCATGTAAAGCCATTGACGTCACGAGGATAAAGGGTTGCCCTGAATTGGAAACTTCAAATACAATTACAGCACAATGCTTACTCAAGCATCACCGCGGTCCAAGAATATTGACAAAATTCACCTTCTATCACAACAACATCCACTGTACTGCGATTGAATCGTTTTTCAAACCATTCGACACGGGATGGTGACACTCTTAAACAAGGTGACTTATGCGAAACTTGCTTAGACTGCCGTCACACTCGGCGACGGACAAGCGATGGAGCGATCGCGATCGCTTGTCCGTCGCCGAGTGTGACGGCGGTCTTAACGCGAGGAAATGCTCCAAATAGAACGAATAAAGCATCCACAATTTTTAAAGATTGCCACTTTAGTAATTTCTTGACTCGCTCATCAGAAGCCAGGCTTTTAGCGCTATTCGCGCGGGGAAAAAACCCAGATGGTGTGCTTTATCCACGCAGATAAGGAATTGATAATGCTACTTGTGTACGATTTTTGTGAGGAACCAGCATTGCGGAGTCGCAGGTTGCTCTAGAATGCTGCGAAAGAGGGTGAGCATAAAATCCCTCGTTCTATTGAATTAGCACAAGAACCAGCCAGTTTCCATATGAAAAATATCAGATCTCATTGCAGGTCAACCATCTCACATGTGCACTAAACGTAGAATGCTTGAAGCCACATTATGCAATTAATGTTCGCCCGCAAAGAAAAGTAGAGGTATGAAGATGAGCATCATTGAAAGTGAGAAGAAACTATCGGAAGCACTATAACTGAAAGCGTTTTGGGTAGACTGCAGCCCGCCGGAGAGACACAGCACGCCGAAGAGAAAGAACACGCAAGAGAGCAAGTCTACAAAAGACACCAGACATACCGCTATGAACATGCGTCGTTCTTTTGCGTACAAAAGGAGCGGCGATTAGCGGCGGTAGTGACACCGCCCCAGAACATTTACAGTACACTTTCCGGTAGCGAGAGTGGCATGATCCTGCGTGGGTGTGGTTCACTAGGACAGAAAGCGACTTTTTCGCGTTTCGCAGCGCGAAACATTTTCGCTGCGGGAACCTCGGGTCCACTGATGATCAGCGGTGGACCTGAGGTTCCCGCAGCGAAAATGTTTCGCGCTGCGAAACGCGAAGAAGCGCTTTCTAAGGGGCTTGAGCCACACATCACCATCCTGCGTTCGCGGGCCCTCCTACCATGCTCACAGAGGGAAT